TTTGTGAATATATTTTTGCAGTAAGCTGTGAGGTTACTTTTCTCAATATTGTACTCTGATAATAACTTTGCCCACATTATTTTGAATGACAGCCCTTTTCACTCTATATCTTTTCTACTTCCAATGATGTGTCAAATTACAATGGATATTGAAGGGTGTGAAGCTTTGATTTCTTCTGGAGGTTACAAAGCTGTAAGTTGGTCTAGTTTTCAGTTAAATGTATTTTCTTGGTCGACTTTTTGTTGGAACACATAATGACATTGATTAATGTAGCTGCTCTTTCTTCCATTAATAATTTGGAGGGTATGATTTCTTGGACATGTATCATTGAGCAATGTAATGTATTCACTAATACCCTACTCCATTCTAAACCATTTTATTAACTTGTAATATTTTCTACCCATTCTCCATTCAATTGGATGCACTATCCAGTCCAGTACAGAAGCATTCCTTGAGTTGATGATTTTATTTTTTTTGTAAATAAGCCTCTTACAAAATTTTCTTCCTGTAGTCTTATCCCATTGTCTTTCCATTCTTGGATCTATGGTCAAGGGAACAAGCAATGGCACAACACGCAAAGGCCCTTTTGCATTAGCTTGGAGTTTTTTTCTCTTCCTACTTTCCACTTTAAAACAAATTTAGCGCTGGGACAAAGATGATAGAGGGCAGCGCAAGTGAGGATGGCAGTTCCTTTAGTGGCTAGTCCTTGGCAAAACTGGTCCAGTCTGTGCTGTACTAAAAAAAAAATATGAAAGCTTGAGTTTGGCCTTTCGCCCCTCTCTTAAGCAAATAACATTTTTTGCGGGTTGAATAGTCATTCATAACAGGCTTCAAGCTGCTGTCCATGATTCAACAATAACTTTTCACCAGAAGACAATTTCTTTTTATCGTGGAAAAAGAGTTGTAAGTTCAAAAATAACATTATTGATTCATTTTTCAGGTTGCAGAATGCCTTGTAAAGTTGATTGGACCACGTGGCAACATGGTTGGAGATGATGGCTGCACCTTCTTGGCATGTGATACAGTATTGAATTTGCTGTTGAAGGTAGTGCTATCTTTATTGCAACCTGATTTTTTTATTGTTATTATGCATTATTTGCAACTTTTTTCTGACCTTTTATTTTTTCCATTAATAGAAAGGGCAAATGCGATTTCGAATGGATGAATCAACCTTCATTGATCTTTTGAAGGCCATAGGATATTGGGCAGGTAAATAATAAAGCTGTGATTAGAAATTGTCATCTTTCTATATTTAATGAAAGTCAGAATTTCTTTCCTTAACGTGTTTGCATGCATGCCTGTGTGCATGTAGATGACTTGGGAGGGGGTGTCATCATCTCTTTCACAAGTATTATGATCTTTATGTGTCATTAATCCTTGACTAGAGGTTCTGATCTTGATTGTTCAGGGAATGCAAATGACCTTTCTGTTATTATCATGGCTTCAAGCATTTGTGCTCTGATATTTGATTATACATCAGAGGAGACTCTTCTAAACCATCCCAGCTTCGACAACAGCTCCCTCCATAATCTATATAAAATCATTGCAAGAAGTTTGGCTTCTTGTAAGCAGGTAAAATTGATGTTTAAAAGCGTTGCAATGTATTTTTAATGCTTCTTGAAGGGCTTGATTAGACTCACATTTTCCTTCCTAGAAGAAACACCTTTCATTATATCAGTGTTCAGATGCCCTTGGCCACCACCTGCTCCTCTCCTAGAAGTAACACTTTTCACTATATCACTGCTTGATGAGACTAACCTACAAGTTTGTCAATTGATTCAGGATATGTCTGATATGGTTAGAAAAGAAACAGATCTTCTCGAGATTGTTACTTCAGGTCTGTCTTTGAAATGAAAGCATCAGATAGTTTCAACCATTTTCTTGTTATGCCTTCCTGCCTTTAACTTGTTGCAGATTTCATTTTTCCGAAGTTGTTTGCAGTTAAATTTTCAGATTTCATATGTTGAACCTTTTTTGCAGGATTTTCACGGTGGGCACATCGGTTCCCTGGTTTAAGAGAGGCGATTGAGAGTGCTTGACAGCCAGATGTTGATTTTTGGTGTGATTATGTGAATGTGTTCCCGCTGGCTTATGTATGATCTTTTGTAGTCGATTTTGATTTGTAAATAATTTCAGTTTCTCCTTAAAAGTTTCCCATATTCTGGGAATCTTTTTCAATTTTGGAAAGTTTAGTCATTAAACCTGACTAGTCTAATGACTTGCTGTCATGGAACTTAGCCAAGTTGAACTGATTTACACATCAATTTGGTTAATTTTTTTATATATATAGATTAATGTGTCTGTTTAAATCAGCAACGACTATATGAGTTTCACGACTATATAAGTTTCTATATAAGTTTCTAATGACTTTTAAATGATTTACACATCAATTTGGTTAATTTTTTTTTTATATAGATTAATGTGTGTTTTTAAATCAGCAATGACTATACAAGTTTTTAATTATTTTTAAATTTTTGACTTAAGACTTGATTAGTTAAGTTATACTTCTCAGGTTAATTTAGTTAGATTTTGATAACTTGGTTAGTTTATAATCTGGTTTATTTTATCAAACTTAGATGAATTTATTTAAGGGAATTTTTTTTTAATATTTGTCCAAAGTATTATATATATAAAATGTCATTTGATTTAAAAAGAAAACGTTGTATGGAGGATGACTTAACCCAATGATTTGGGATTTTAACCTAGTATGTCCCATTTCTTGCATCTTACTGGCCGCTTGTTCTTCCATGTCATGCCTTTTGTTCTCTTTAATGATGAAATATCCTTCACAAATGAGTTTTTGAGTAACATCATTCATTCTTGAATGATATCAATCATTGGGTCTCCTTGTAGATAAAATGGTTAGCTAGGCTGTTTTAAAGTATTTTTTATTTTAAAATGTATTAAAATAATATGTTTTTTTTATATAAAAAAAATTATTTTTAAAATCATTATATAAAAAAATTTAAAATATACAAAAAAATTATTTTTTTACTTGTATTTTCAAATGCACAAACACACATTAGCTAAGCTTGAGCACTTTAAAAAAAATATTAAACCATGTTGATTTTTTATGAATGGCCTTCTTTGGGCTGGTAGGCTCGGCTTCTAGCTTTTGAGGCGTGATCCAGAATATATTTTAGGGCTTCAAAGACTCGAGCAAACTACTTGTGTTACTTTCTTACATTAAGGCTTCGAGAAAGGTTGTGCTGCGTGTAGCTTTAATTTTTTTTTTTTTAAAAAAGAAAACACTAAAAGCCAAAAGTCAATTATTGTTGCCTAAGAGATAGCTTACTTTGAATTACAATAGTAAAACGGCCATCCTTCCCTTCTCAGACAAAATCACGATCCTTGCTAACTGGGGTGAATTCATGTTCTTCGTGTGACTGATGGATCATTTCAGCAAAGGCTTTGACAATCATGTCTTATCATTTTATCTTTAAAATCTTTTTTTTATTTGGTGTGACTGACTGATCATTTCAACAAATGTTTGACAATTATGTCCTATATTTTATCTTTTCTTTTTCACGGTAAAAAAGTAATTTAAATATTTTTAAAACCAATAAAAAATAAAAAAATAATCAAATTAAAATCACTAATATGATTGAAAAAACAAAAACCATAAATTTAATTCAAATAGTTAAATTATGGTTAAATTACAGCAATAAAAACTCTGGTAAAAAATAAAGGAAAAATATTAAGAAATTAAAAATAGAATAAAGGGATTAAAATACCCTATATATAAAAAAAAATCAAGAATCAAACAAAAGTTTAACAAAAAAAATTAAAAACATTAATTAAAATTAAAAAATCTGAATTTTAAAAAATAAAAATAAAGACAATAGTGTATTTGTGGGGGCACGAGGGAGATGATTTGTTTTCTTCGTTTGGAGTTATCGTTTGTTGACTTTCTTAAATTGTTTTCATATATTAATATTGAGAATAAATTTTTTTAAAATGTATTATTTTAATATATTTATTTTAAATTTCATTTTTAAAATAATATCCGGTGAACTGGCAAACACTATCGAACACGGGTTGATATAATATAGGCTAGTTTCTTTAATTGGATTGATAGTGTGAGATGACAAGATAAGAAAAGCAAGAACATGGCCAAAGTACAAGTGGAATTCATCAAGAAATAAATGTATCTCTGCCGTGTGGGCTCCTCCAGAGCCTGTGCTTTGTCCCGGAAAGAATTCTATCTTATCCTCGATGTACCTGGAATCAAATCCCCGGCGACTGTTTCTTTGATGTAACCCCAATCATTCCAGGTTTTTTTTTTTTTTTTTTTTTCCGGTCATGCATCATTTATTATTGGTTTTCTCATGAACTGTAGATTTTAATGAAAATTTATCTGTGATAGATTAATTTATTTTTTTATTTCTAGATCAATTGTTGTAGTAATACAATTAAAAAAATAATTTAAAGTACAAATATTTTTATAAATTTTATCAAATTAATACAAAGGATTAAGATGAAAAAAAAGGAGAGAAAGAACTGTATTGTTTTAATAAATAAAAACTTTTTTTTTATATAATTGTTTTTTCTTCCATCATGCATCGTTTATTACTGGTTTTCACAAAAGTCTCAAGATCGATGTGGTCAACATAACTGTAGGTTTTAAAGGAAATTTATTTGTGATATAAGAATTTATTTTTGGATTAATTATAGAATGGTTATTTTGTAAATTTTATCAAGTTAATATAAAAAAAGAGATATATATTATTTTAACAAATAAAAACTTCTTTTTATAAGTTATATTTTTATATATATAAATAAAAATTATATATATTTTTTAATATTTAAACCAGATCCGCATCTCATGGACGACAAGACATAGACCGATTAACGACAATATCAATTGTGTTTTAACCAAGAAAGCTCGTAGGTTCAGTCACTTGTTTTGTGATCTACTGCGCGGACAAAGTGTACCCTTCATTGCAGGCCGGCTAAAAGTCAACAAGAAGAAAAACAAGATGATGAAAATGATGTGCAACTACGTGGAATCAGAAACCAACCAGAAAATATATTCAATAGTGTTCAAACAATGATGACAACTGATGAGAAGTCCATGGCTTGATGCCTGGCAAAACCATGGAAACCACCTCGTAAATTCCATGTTAATGTCAACGATATTCGTTGCGCAGAAAAAATATTTCTCAAGGATATTCTTCCTCCACTGATCATATAATATTATTCACCTGTATATATTCATCTTTCTGAAGTTCATCACAACATTCCTTTTCACCCCTTTCCTTCCCTGATTGTTTGCCTACTTCTGTGCTTATTCAAGTTCATACACTTAACAACCATGTATAAAGTTGCTAGTCCGTCCGAGTTTTTGGTGATAACCGGGGTTGGTATCTCAGATATTAAGCTAGCCAAAAAGGGATGGATCCTTCCCGGCCAGTCATGTACTGTCTTCGACGTTTCACCGGTCAACTACACCTTCGAAGTCCAAGCCATGAGTGCAGAGAAGCTCCCTTTTGTTCTTCCTGCTGTCTTCACTATTGGCCCTCGTGTGGATGACGACCAAAGCCTCTTTAAATATGCAAAGCTCATCTCTCGACATGACAAGCTCTCTAACCATGTTAAAGAGCTTGTTCAGGGTATCATTGAGGGTGAAACCAGAGTACTTGCTGCTTCCATGACCATGGAAGAGGTTTTCAAAGGAACTAAAGAGTTTAAACAGGAAGTTTTTGAGAAAGTCCAGCTTGAACTTAATCAGTTTGGATTGTTAATATATAATGCTAATGTTAAACAACTTGTCGATGTTCCTGGGCACGAGTACTTCTCTTACTTGGGTCAAAAGACTCAAATGGAGGCTGCAAATCAAGCCAGAGTTGATGTATCAGAAGCGAAAATGAAGGGAGAGGTAGGATCAAAGCAAAGGGAGGGTCAAACTCTGCAAAATGCGGCGAGAATCGATGCTGAAACGAAGATTATTGCGACGCAAAGGCAAGGAGATGGGAAGAAGGAGGAGATAAAGGTGAAGACTGAGGTTAAGATTTATGAGAACCATAGAGAAGCAGAGGTGGCAGAGGCCAATGCTGATTTGGCAAAGAAGAGGGCTGGTTGGTCCAAAGAAGCGCAGGTGGCAGAGGTGGAAGCAACAAAGGCCGTGTCCCTGAGGGAGGCTGAGTTGCAAAGGGAGGTGGAGAGAATGAATGCTTTGACCAGAACTGAAAAGCTCAAGGCTGAGTTTCTGAGCCAGGCTAGCGTGGAGTACGAAACCAAGGTAATTAATATACTATATTTTACCATATAATTTCTCAAAAGCTAACTTGTAACTAAATCAATTTGAACTTATACATATTAAACTCAGCAAATGATCACTTTAAATTACCATCTTCGATTTCTAATCCAATTTGTTTTACTTAACAGGTTCAAGAAGCAAACTGGGAGCTGTATAAGAAACAGAAAGCAGCAGAAGCAATTCTCTATGAAAAGCAGAAAGATGCTGATGCACAAAAAGCAACAGCAGATGCAACATTTTATTCTCGCCAACAAGTTGCTGACGGGGAGCTATATGCAAAGCAAAAGGAAGCTGAAGGACTCGTAGCACTTGCACAGGCACAGGGAGTCTATTTACGCACCCTTCTGGACGCATTAGGCGGCAATTATGCAGCATTGAGAGATTACTTAATGATCAACAGCGGAATGTTTCAAGAGATTGCTAGGATTAACGCGGATGCAGTTCATGGGTTGCAGCCTAAAATCAGCATCTGGACTAATGGAAACAGCGGCGAGGCTAACGATGGAGCTGGGGGAGGCAATGCAATGAAGGAGGTTGCTGGGGTTTACAAGATGTTACCACCCTTGTTTAAGACTGTTCAAGACCAGACTGGAATGCTACCACCGGCATGGATGGGCACATTGACAGACTCTAGCCACTCTAATGTGAACTGAATCATGGTGATCTTGTGGTTTTGTTGCTCGAGTTTGCTGATATGAACACTCCCTGTGGTCTCCCGTTTGATTGTGCGTGTGCGTGTGCGTGTGTTCTTTTTTTCTTGTATCGCAAATAATTTCGTAATAATAAGATGAACGTAACACTCATAATTCCTATATCTTCTTCGAAGATCAAGCCTGGTTTAAATGTAAACACAAGTTATAAATTGGTGGAAGGGGAGAAGATCTTGAATTATCAAATTTTGGCACTAGAATGGTGTGTTTGTTTAAGCTGCGTGTCCGCCCATTTTAAAAAATTAAAATTTTGTTTTAAATTGAATTTTTTTAATATACTAATATTAAAAATAATTTTTTTAAAAAATATTATATTAATACATTACTAAACTAAAAATACTTTAAAATATAACTATCATAACAATATTAAATTCCACCTTCACGCCGCCCAGTAACCAATAATAATTGGAAACATTTAAAAAAATTGATTTAATGTTTTTTTAAAATAAATATATTTTTAAAAAGCATTAAAAAGTAAAAGTTAGAACACCTGAGACGAGACGGCTCTTAAACCCGCTTTTGCAAGTGGTTTGCATTCCCACCCTGTTAATTCTATCACTGACAGATGCTCAATGCCCAATTGATGAAAAAAACTGTACTGTGATCCTTTCCGACATAAAGCACAAATACCACAACCTTGCCCTTGCCCTTAAAAAAAATAAAATGTAACGGTAAAATTGGGTAAAAAAATCCTAGTTAAGATCCAATTTTAGATGCTGCGTCCGAAAGTAAGCTGAAATTCATTTACAAAATTGTATATCTTGATTAAATTCTGAGATAATTTTAACATGAAACAAAAAACAATCAAACTTATAATTATTGACGCGTGAAATATTATAATTTATTAATTTTTTATATATTAATTAAAGTATGAGCATGATTAAGATAACTTGTTAAATTAAAATCTCTTTTCAGATCATAAATTTATTATCAGTTAATATTAATATTGTATTAACTTATTATTTGTATCATAAATCATGTAAGAATATATTATTAAAATTACAGTTAATATTAATATTGTATTAACTTATTGTTTGTATCATAAATCGAATATATTATTAAAATTGTTTTATTGTTTTTTGATATAATAAATGATATAAACATAAACCTAGAAGATATGTGTAATATTACAGGACATACTTAGAAAATAAATATTGAAGAAAAAGTTTTTTTAATAAAGAGTTTGCTTTTTAATTTTTTGTTCTTCAAACGCATTTTTTATATATATTTTAAATTAAAAGTTTTTATTATTATCAATTGAGACATGACTAGGATATATGGAATATTAGAATATACTAAAATATTTGCATTTACTCCCGATTTACTTTTAACTACGAACTTCCTCCTCTTTACTTTTATTCAATGATGAGCTTCTACTGATCCTAAAGGACCCAGATTATCATAAAGGTCAGTTCACTATCCGGGACTAGGATAGTTCTTCCTCCTCAATTGTGGGGATAAACCTCACCGTACTTGGAATAGAACCATGCCTCCCATTATCCAAACACAAACTTTAAGTGGGGCCCATCCCTTTCCTACCGTCACTGTCTCACTAATAATCTCCCAACACGTGTCCTACTCATATTCATCCCTGTCGTTTTTGCCCCACGCCAATTTTCGCGCTCGCGTGCCCTGACCATCTTGGAGCCTCGTGAGAGTTCTTCCAGGTGTTCCAGTTATTTAATCGAGTGATCCGCGAAGTACATCTTAATCCCTACAGTTTACTGCGTGTTTCACTTTGCTACTGAATTATAGCACCTAACCGTTTTGGTAGATGTTTAAGGTGGTATTTGTCTTGCGATTTAACCATATTTTTATAAATTTTTAAATTTTTTAACTTTAAGTTATTTTATTTTTATATTTTTAAATTATTTTGATGTATTGATATAAAAAATAAAATTTTAAAAATAAAAGGTATTATATCAATGCATTTTAAAACAAAAAATACTTTAAAAAATAATCTCTATAATTTGTAAAATGAATTTAATACAAATAGACAGTAAAACAAATAATTTGAAAATTAAATATGCTTGATATTATTCTTTCATATAAAATCTGTTAAGTTTTATTCATACTTGTAGCTTTGCTCCATATACAATAAGATATATTTGAAGAATTACATATTGTGATATTTTTTTAATTTTCTAAATTAAATTAAATTAAAGTATCCTGCCTGGTTATACATTCCATTTTAAACATTTTTAACACAATTAACTACAATTTAACGAAAAAGGAGTCAACATCACAACAACGTCAAAAATGTTATCTTGATATTGAGAAATTGAATTCAATTGAAACTGAAACGAACAATCTGATAAAATACAAGGATTAAAATACACTTTACCATAGCTCCTTATCCCTTTACACCCTTAAAAACCAAAGAGTGAAAGAACACAGCTGTATCCACAATCAACGGTCCAAACTCACCCATCAGAAAATCCAACTCCAAATCCCAAAATCCAACAGCCCGTATTTACTCAAACTGTCCAGTCAACCCTGCCTTGAAATAATAACTACACATCAGATGACAGTCATCTCTCCGCCCCCCCGTCCCTCTGAACTGAAGCTTCACTCCCCCTTTCTCTTTTCAGCTCCTTCACTTTTCTTAAAAAAAAGAAAAAAAGAATAAGAAAGATCGTCTCTAGTCTAGGGTTTTCTCAGCTTGATTTTGATGCTATTCTATCTATAGAAACTTCCTCTGATGAAGGTTTGAGAGGACATTTTGGTAATTAGCTACCGTTGAGAGGCGTTGTTGATGGTTTTGAGGAAGGAGAGTTAGGGTTTTGAGAGATGGATGATTCTTCATGGAAGGTCAAATGTAGCTCTGCTACACTGCAGCAGCCTTTAATGGCTACTCCTTCTTCAACAACGCCTCAAGAAGCTCGAAATCAGGTGTGGTTTTTGTATTGCGTTGGGGCTTTGTAGTCTTTTTGTAGTTTAGGGTTTCACGCATTGATTATTTTACGGTTCTCTTTCACTGCTCTTCGTGTTTGTGTGTTAGTTCCTTCACTGCACTCTTGAAGTATTTTTCTTTTTATATCTTAATTTTTTGTATTTGATTTTGTGAATTATTTTCTGTCTCGAAGAAATTGTGATACAGACTGTAAATATATTTGACATTTGCTACAGCTTAGTGCTGAGAAAGAGAATTTTGAATTTGTTTGAAATGTTGGAGGTGACATGCTTAGGTTGGCAAATGGCCGCTGAGGTATGGTGATGAGCGGGTTGACTGCTTTTCAGCAGAGGGCGAGTGTAAAAGGAGAATGAAGGAGAACGAGGAGAGGGTTTTTTGGGGTGAGAGATGTTGGAATGCTATGAACATTCAAATCGCAGAAGGAGATTTAGTCTACAGCAGTGAATTGTTTGACCTTGTTGTTTTTGTTAATATTATTAGTGGGTTTCTGTGTTTATGTTTTTTTTTTTCCCTGTTGGTTGCTAGGAATTTACATGTGAATGATGTGATCTTTTTATTGTTTGAAATTTTGATTCAAGTCACTGTATGCTAGAAGGTGTGGTTTTGATTGTTGTTGTTATTCTTATTTAACGTTTCTCTTCTGGTTAAATGCAGCTGGAGGTTAACTCAGGTCAATATTTTTATCCTCATGCTGGACATGATTTGAGATCACAAGGGCGTGGAAGGATGCCGGATTCTGTGGTTTCCAACACTCTGAATTTAAGTTCCTATTCAGGCAACTGTGACCTTGGAAATTCATTTCTGGCTCTCCTATCTGGCCCAGCATCATTTTCCCCGTGTGATTTCCAGGAATTACCAAATCCTAAACAATTTAGTGCCTCTAGTAGAGTTCCTTTTGAAGACACCGGTTCATTGTTTAATGCTTTTGGAAGTCGGGCTCCATTGATGTCAAACAGGATACCATCAGAAAATATAAGCAATCAAAACCAGAGAAATGGAGCAAATCCAGTTGTTTCATCCAAGTGTGCATCTACTTCCAATTCTGTTCTGCAACATTGTCTCCAGGGTGCAAACTTTGCTATGCACAGTTCAGACCTGGCTAAGGCAGTCATCCATTATAGGGTTTCTGATAATGAGAAGGTAAAAGATTCCTCTTCTCTGAGAGGGGGGTGGCGGAGTACTAACCCTGCAAATGCTGTAAAGCTCCCAGATACAAACTGTCAAATGCCAGGAAAATTAGCATTAGAACCAGAGCTTTCTGTTTCTAAGAATTCATCTGCTCTTTCTAACCAGTACCCTTGTGTATTTTGTCGGGGTAAAAGTGAGTGCTTGATACATGTTGCTCCTTGTTTTTAGTTGATTAATATTATGTTGCAAGCTTCCACCTGGAATCTAATTTCTATCAACCTGAAAGGTGGAGAGCTACTTCTTAGCAGTACAGGACTCCTAGGCATTCTTTGCTCATGTCATCGCTTCCACATGTCTGTATCCAAGTTTTGTGAGGTAAGTTCTTTCAACCTTGTATCACGTTCATGTTTTGTACATTATGTTATGTATTGTTGTCCTGTCAACCACATTTGATAGCATTTGGCATTTATTCCTGCTTTGATCTAACTGCTTTTATCACACAGCATTCAGGATTATGGAATGTTAACCCTGGAGTTGCTGTTCATATGGAGAATGGAGAGACCATTGCTCAGTGGCGTAAGCTCTACTTCCAGAAAATTGGGGTATGATGTTTATGCTGCTTTTAATTATTTTTTCTTGTAAGGAATTGATTTTGTGCTTAAATTGTCTACACTCACTTGTGTCCCTGTGCGTGCGCTGTGTATAATGCAGGGAAATGCTAAATTTGTATGAATAGGAAATTAGGCTTGTGATTGCATTATACCTACTATGTTAGTGCATTTGTTCTGGAACTTATCATCTTAAATTTGCCAGTCAATTAGACCAGTACTACACTGCAAGTTTGCCACAAGTACCATGTATGAGAATTTTGATGGTTAGTGTAGATGTGAAATCAATAACATTTTCTTAGGAGTGTCTAATTTCTTTGTCTACAAGTTCTGTAGGAGGATACCTCTTTATGTGCTTAGTGTTGATACCGAGTTCATTCCTCTTCACAAAAGAAGATTTTTTATGATGCAACTGGTGGAAATATGAATTCTTAAAATATCAGTGATTTTAAAAAAAAATTTCATGTTTTTGCCTGACTGCCACCAACTTGGTTATGGAAAAGAAGCCTAGATGAATGTCACAGAATTAATAGGCC